TATATATATAATTAAATAATGGGCCGTCGGAGTGCAACACTGCTATGGTTTTCACCTGATGGTGATTCCCGTCTTTGAATCTTTCGCCTCTTCACTCTATCGGCTTCGTCGTTTTCTACGACAAAGGTTTCATTGTGCTCGACGACGAACAGCTTCGCACCCAGCTTTCTCCTTTTATGAATGCTTCGTCGGTGTTTGCATACAGCTCGCACGACATAGTCTTCCTGCTTGACACGTTGTCATCATCTCGCAGTTTCGTCGGCATTTGCAAATAGCTCGCACGTTGTCGTCATCTTTCGTTCCTGATATGAGGTTTGGTTACATCATTTGCAGTCCTTGCACGTCATCTCCATCCTCGAGTCGCAGATTGCTGGGGTTTTCGCCTGATGGTGATTCCCGACTTCGAATCTTTCGCCTTTTCATTCTGTCGGCTTCATCGTTTTACACGACAAAGGTTTCATCATGCTCAACGACGAACAACTTCGCATCCAACTTTCTCCTTTTACGATTGCCTTGCCAGCGTTTGCAAACAACTCGCACGATGTAGTCTTCCTGCTTGACGCATCGTCATCGTCTCCCTGTTTTGTCGGCGTACATCGTCTCCCTCGTCGGATAGAAGATTGACGCGGCTCGCCACTGTCGGCGGTGACACGCCCATAGAAAGCTGTCGGTCACCGGAATCGAAATCTAATCGCCCGCTTCGAAATGACGTTTTAATTTACATATAGATTTAAGTTTAAAATCAAATATGAAAATCAAACTGACCCTATAGTTTTCATAGTTTAAATGAAATAATGTTTTACCTCAAACACTGTATCTATCCCGAGAGATAAACACAAGACTTGAGGATGAAACTCGATCAAATAAACTAAGAAATACATGACGTCCGTTTGGTCTACGAAACCGTTTTATTTGCCAAAAAATTTTTCTATTTAATATGAAAAATTAAATAGAATTTTTTTTAAGCTGGGTTCGGAAAAATTTCCTATAAGGGCAAGCCCCTATAGTTAATTATTTTTTAAATGACCGAAGTCACTTAAGAATACTCTCGATAAAAATAAGGAAAGATTGTCTGGACTTTTCAACGAAATCAGACAAAGATGTGTGCAAAAGTGGAATGGTATAAACTTGGAACATTTATTGTAGAATCCAAATGAGTAAGAACTACGGAATGCCACAGATCCGAAGGAGAACTTCGGTGACTTCCCAGCTTCAGTTTCGAGGAGAAATATTCAAGTGTTTTATCCTGTCAATTTTTATTTAATTAGGGCTTACATTCGTGTGAAACAATCACAGAAACAACCCGCAAGACGTGAGGATTTAGGTCGTGACGGACGACAACCTCATAATCCTAAAACTAGTTAGGGTTTAGATCGTACAGCAGAGATATACGAATGTCTAACAAAAAGTTGAGAATTTATGTTGCGCAAGGTGAACAACCTCAAAATCCTATGGATTGTTATTTTAATTTCTTGGAAAAAGGAATGGTTTAGCTGAGGAAGACATGTTCTGCTGTTAAAAATGGTCGTGCTGCCCACCGCGCTAGTTCCAAGCTCCTTGTCGTGACGAGTTTGAGTTTTCTAGGGTGTCAGTTTATAATGTCAAATCCAACGGCTATATGATTATAGTTCTTCAGATATTTTTATAGATAACATGTTGAAGTTGTATAGTGTATAGCATAACAGTAGAATATGTAGCACAGGACAAGCAGTAGGGTATGCAGTAAAGAAAGCAGTACATGCACTGTAAAGAAAAATAAAGGTACAACAAAGAAGTGATTATAAGAGAATAATATGCTGTAAACATAAAACAAACATGTATACCTGGAATATCCGTTGTTTCTTAGGTGAAATTGATGTGATAGGTACAATAAACAAAACTCGAGGAAGCAAGCTGAAATGCTTTATATAAACGAAAACAAAAAACATCGTCATAAATCTCGAGAAAGATCGTCAAAAGACTCACGACAAGAGAAATGCGAGGAAATCGACGAATCAACAAATCAATTAAAATCGTAGAAAACACGGGAAAATCCCGAAATGAGACAATGAGTGCTTTGTCCAAAAATTCCAAGAAAAACATATGGAAAAGTTCGAAAAGAGGGGGACCACAAGCACTCGGATTGGGGCTTGGCTCAGCTATATATTAGTTCAAAAACCTACACATGTCTAATACACTTTAGACTAATCCACTGATCGGATGAGTCAGTCTTCGGATGAGAAATGACAGGTTTATTCTAGGAGGAAGAAGAAGAATGGAGGTCAACTCGAGCTCAGAAACTTATTGAACGATACATTGGTTACTATTGGCAATGACACTCATCTCACAAATTTGTTAGTTGGCGCTCCTTTCCTAGAACTAGAGACAGAGGCAAGACAAAATTGGGGCGCTCTCTAGCTACCTGATACTACGTGTTTTGACACTTGGTTTTTGGGCTCCAATGTATTTTTCTGTGTTTTTTTTTTCTAGAACCATTTGCATGTGGTGTTTACCGTGTTGGTAGGGTGTCATGTTTCGGCCCTCTCATATAATCTATCTGTATCTTTCTTTCTTTTTAATATATTAGTCCTTGGGCTTTCTCAAAAAATATATATATAATTATTTCGAACCTAAACGAGCCGAGCAAGAACGAATAAATCATTGTTCGTGTTCGGCTCGTTTATATATCGAGCGCAAAATAATTATTTGTGTTCAACTCATTTACTTAATGAACGAATTGAACACGAGCTTCTTAATGAACCGAACAGAAACTGTTCACGCACAACGAGCCGTTTTGATAGACCTAAATCTAATTTAAAGCCTAAATAGCAAAAACAAAACATTTAATATATGCACCATCCACGATGATTATTAAATCAATGATAATGCTAGCAGTAAAAATATTGAAGTGAAATAAATGATGGAAAGCGGTACCTTCAATGGACTAATTGCTGCATATTCCGTGCAATGTTTCAACTGTCTGTTCTTTAATCTTGCTGCAAGAAGCATGCACTGAAATCGGTGCATGACTGAAGGAATAAAGGCAAACGTCTTTAGAGTATTTATAGAGATAGGTGACATCAAAACTACACAGATTTCTGCTGGCAATTCAACAAATCTGTGGCCCGATGCTGAACATTGAAAGAAAGATTGGTTCAGAAAGAAGTTCCAGGTTAGAATGAAGCCGGTAAAAACTAAGAGGCATGGCGCAATCACGCATATAAAGCAAAAATAAAACTAAAAAATTAAAAACACAAAATATACAGATTAATTCTTTATCAGAAAACCAAGCATGTTAAAAATAGAAAAAATATAAAACAAAAATGAGTTATCATAAAAAATAAAAAGAAATGGGTATACAACTTTAATAATGTAGGATGTTTGTCATGAGGGTTCAAAATTGTTCTTCACATTTAGAGAAATTGAATTTGTAGTTCAACTTAATTGTAAGACCAAAATTAACTAAATATAGTAAAATTTCTACAACAAAAATTACCAAAAGCGAATGCTTTGTCCAACAAGACCAGCTTAAAATGCATCAATACAATGAAAATCACTTTGACACGGCATCAGTTCAGAGAAAATAATGCAGAAATGCATTTAAAGTGTTGAAATAATCAAAAAAGGACATGACGCGCCCGTTTCCATGGTATTGCGGAACCACATCGTGGTCACCCCGAGAATCCTTCTTTTATTTATTTTCTATTTTTACAACAAGTTTGCCTCTAACTTTCTTTCCTTTATGGACCTTCCCGATTTCTTTAGTTTTTCATTAGGTTAACTTCTCAAGGAACATTTATATAAGTTGTATTTTGCCTTTTGAATTTTTCAACTACGCTGATTTTATGAATTGATAGACGTTTCTCTGAATTCTACTCTCCGGAGTTTTGTCTCGTCTTCCTTATTTGAGTAGTGTATATGTATCTCGCTTAGGAATGAGTAGTAGAACCTCATTGCTGCTTGAATCTCGCCATTTCTCCGTCAAACTTTCTAATTTCAGCCAACATAGCAATTTGTCACGGACAAATAGTCCCACATCGGCTAGGTGTAGGGCCGCAAAATAGTATTTAGATACTTAGATCCTGGGCTGCCCACCTCTCTTAAGAGCTCTTTTGGGAAGTGACAAGTGGTATCAACGCAGATTACTGTCTGTCAGGTGTGTGGACTCTCCATGGTCAAGTTGGTTGGGCCCTCGGTGGAGTCGATCCGTGACGAGAGCGTCACGTGATTGGGTGGAGGAAAATATCACGGACAAATAGTCCGACATCGGCAAGGTGTAGGGCCGAAAAACAGTATTTAGGTCCTAAGCTGCCCACCTCTCTTAAGGGTTTTTTTGGGAAATGACAAGTTGGTGGCATCAAGCATTCTGTCCCACGGCAGATTTATCCCAACAGTCCCTTTAAAACAACATCGACACACATATTAGCATCCACGAATTATTCCACAACTACCTTCCCTCTAAATCCACTCCCATAATACCTTCTAGGAGCCCAAAAATAACATCATAGAGTATCAATGAAATAACCGAAAAATAAATTAAAATAAATAATTTAGGAAGTGAGTGTCGATTCGAAGCGTAGACATCTTTGTCTTAAAGAGACGAGTGTCCCTGTCGAAGCAAAACCAAAGAAGCGAACCATACTAAGAGAACTAGAGTGGGAGTCGGAGAAGGAAGAGGAAGAGGAAGAAGAAGAAGAAGGTGAGAACGAGTGGAGGTATCTCGTGTACGGGTAGCAGTGGAACGTCTTTACAACGGTGAAAGACTTTGATTTCCGAACTGAGAAGCGAGCGCGATCAAACAAATGAAGAACTTAATCGAGTAGCTCCAACATGAAATAGGAAGAGGAGGATGTTGCGTGTTGCCTTTGTGCGAGAGATGACATCGAAAGTGCAAGGGAGATGAAGCCTTTTAGGAAACGAAAAATTCTTAGAAAATCTAATAGGAGAATTCTTTTAAAAGATATAAATGTCAAAAAACCAAATAACAAAAAATGTCATTGTTATATATGTGGGTCTCCAGATCATTTAGCAAATACATGTAACAAAAGAAATTATAATTGGACAAGAAGTTTATTAACTCAAGGAATATAAGATGATGTAGTCAGTATTTCATCAAATGAATCGAATGATACAATTTATAACATAATGAAATTGATTCTCAAGTATCAAAAAAAGCAATAGAATGATTAATTAGAGCAGTTGATAGGTGAAAATTAGAAAGATAATGGAACATTGTGAACATCCTTTTGAATTATGAAAAGGAAATATGACTAAATAATGTATTTATTGTAATTATTACCGAGGTAAAAATCATAGATATCGTTGTAAATTATCTTTTATGGACATATGTCATTTATGCTTAAAGAAAAACCATAACTTTGATCAAAGAGATTTTGTGAAACAAAAAGAAGGAATAGATATTTCCACAACATTACAAAAAATAAATTTTGAATTATAAAAAATACAATTAAGTATCAAAAAATATTATTTAGAATAGAAAAATTAGAAGAACAATATAAAAATCAAGAAAAAATTCAACAAAAAAAGGTTCAAACATATAAAAAAGATAAACAAAAAATTATATTTAAAATTAAAAAAATAAAAAATGGCTATAAAAAAAAATGATAACCACATCATCAGAAAGTGAAAAATCTTCTAAGAAAAACATTAATTCTTATCTAGAAGATATAGAAGAAATAAATAAAATAGATTTAAATAAAATAGAAACAATGTTATCAAATACTTACCAAAATTATTCAACTTCCCTAATAATGGCAAAAACAAATATAAATTTACAAGATAAAAATTAAATAATGGTACCTGCATTAATAGATAGTGGATGTACAATGTCAATAATAACAAAAAATTTATTACCAAGAAAATTTACCAAATATCATTTAACAAATAAAACTACATATTTAGTAGGAAATCACGCTTTAAATTTCAGTCAATGCTTAAAAAATAGTTATATTCAATTCTTTATTAATCATGAAACTTTTGAATTAACTGATAAGTATAGTTTATCATAAATTTTAGTTCATGAAGCAAAAAAATAAAGAATTTATATTAGAACTTAACTTTATTTTAAGCATGGATAGACAGATAAATAAAAATAAAAATTTTTTAACTATAAGTAAAAATATTTCAATTATTTACACTAATAAACATCAGAGTTACACTGAGAAGCGTGGTGGATTACCAAAACGGAAGTAAAAAAATGTTAGAAACAAAAAATTTAGACATAGAATTCTCAGATTATTTAAACTAATGTTACAAACAAGAAACTATTTCCACATACCAAATTCCAAAGCCATTAGAAAAAATTTCAATTACCATAAGAAATTCAAATAATAGGAGAAAATCCTTTAAAACATTGGGAGAAAAATAAAGAAATAGAAATATCCCAATTATAAATAAAAACTTAGTTATAAGAACGAAAGAATTAGAATATAGTCCTCTAGATAAAGAAGAATTTAAAATTCAAATAAAAGAATTAAAAGATTTAGGACTAATTAAACCATCAAATTTAGAACATAGATCAACTGCATTTATGGCAAGAAACCATGCAGAAATTCTAAGAGGAAAAGTTAGAATGGTTATTAATTATAAACGATTGAATGATAATACGGAAGATGATGGATGTAAAATACCTGATAAAGAAATGTTAATAAACTCAATACAAAATAAAAAATATTTTAATAAATTTGATTGTAAATTAGGATTTTGGCAAATAAAGTTAGATGAAGAATCTATTAAATACACAGCATTCACAACACCATTATGACATTACAAATGATTAATAAAGTCATTTGGATTAAAAAATTAACCTAGTAAATTTCAAAGGAGAATAGATAATAACTTTAAAAATCTAGATTATGTACTAGTATATATTAATGACATATTAATAACATCACATAATTTAAAAGAACATTACAAACATGTAGAAGAAGCACTTAAACTTTGTATACAACATGAAATTATTTTATTCAAAAAGAAAATCTAAATAGCCAAAAACTATATAAATTTTTTAAGACATAAAATTGGTAAAGGTGTAATAGAATTGCAAGATTATTTTTCCTGATAAAATTCAAAATACAAAAAAATTCCAAAAATTTTTAGAACTTTTAAATTATGCTAGGTCATATATAGAAGATTTAGGAAAAATAATTAAATCCCTATATAAAAAGACTTCTACAACAGGACAAATGTATTTTAATATAAAAGTAATTAAAGAACAAGTCAAAAATTTACCAAAATTAACTTTACCATTAGAATCAGACTATAAAATAGTGATTGTAGATGCATCCCAAGATGGTCGGGGAGCAGAATTGAGAGTAAAACCTTTTGAAGAAGCTTATCAAAATACTGAAAAATTATGTAGATACGTCTCGGGAAATTTTAAACAGTTACCTCAAAATATGACATCATTAGATTATGAAATATTATGAGTAATTAATGCGTTACATGCATTTTATTTATCTTTACAAAAAAAAAGTACTATTAGGACAGATTGTGAAGCTATTGTACATTTTTATAAAAATAAAATGAGAAGAAAATATATAGTAAAAGATGGATAAATTTTATAACTACTATTGAAGGTAATGGATATAATATTATTTTTGTACATATAAAAGAAAAAAAAATAATTTTCTTATAGATTTTCTTTCAAGAGCAGTTAAAAATCCAAATTTAGATATAAAATCTACGGATTTTACACCATCATAATTTGATGTTTTCCAAAGAAACATCACTTAGGAAAAAAATAGGAATTTATTTTCAATAAATTCAATAGAAATATTTTAAAATAATATATATTTCATTTTGCACTTATGTCATCCCAAAAATCTTCATCCTCTCAAATATTATAACCAAATAATCTAGTCCATTACGGCCCTTTAACATTACCAAGCCGTGTTGGAACAAATTTACAATTTAGACCAATGTCATTATATCAAAACCTTTAAATCATTTTCAAGTCACTTTATTAGATAATCTTTGGTGCAATCGTTCAGACATAGGAGCTATGATCAATAATCTTAATTGTTTAACTCTGTGTTATGCAGGAATTAATAATCAAATACAATTCTTGCAAAATCAAATTAATAATAGAGAACTGGATGTCAATTTGGGA